GCCCCAGGAGTCTCTCAGGAGTTCTCACTCCCTGTGGCTCCTTCTCTCTCACCAGTCACACATGCCGAATTCCCTGCAGCTGGACCTGCAAGAGCAAGCCCCAGGAGGGCATTTGTGAGGGTGGGCAGCGGGCCTTAGTACACTGGTGATTTGGACCAGCACAGGCATCGGGGGGAGGCATGTGATCCTAATCAGAGCCTGTTCTGTGCCCCTCACTCTGTCTCGTGTTCAGTCCCAGGGACCCTGCTGTGCCCAGTCTGCTTGTCTAGAAATGACTGTCCAGAAAATGCCCCACAACAGATCTGCCCAGCAGGGTACACTCACTGCTACAATGGAGTGGTCAAGTTTATAGGAGGTAAGCCTGGACATTCAGTTCCTATTGGGACAGAACTTCGACCACTGGAACTGAGATGTGATTCTCTGTAAAGTAAGGGGTAGTTGGGGGAGGACCTGGGACTCAGAAGACGGTGGGGTTGGTCTTCCCTCTGAGAACTGGATGGCCCACTAGGTCAGCATCTCTGTCCGTTTCCCTGTCCTCTTTCTCAGGGGGCATTGCCAGCAATCTGAGAGTACAGGGCTGTATGCCCCAGCCAGGCTGCAACCTGCTCAATGGGACCCAGCTAATTGGGTCCATGGATGTGACTGAGAACTGCAGTCCTAGATCAGGTGAGTCCCACATGGGAAACCAGTCTGTGGCCATAGGAAAGATGATGCTTGTCACTAGATATGAAAAGACATCATACCGAAGTCAACAGCCTTAAGTAATGCAGATATTTATTACTCAAGTGTGTGCAAAGGGAGGCAAAAGGTGGCTCCACTTTACACATGAAAAGTGCCTGGATTGTCTCAATAAGGACAGGTGCAGGGCAAAAGGAAGTTGGGGTGGGAAAGGGAGGTGAGACAAAGGTCTCTTTTCCCTGATCCTGCCTCCGTGTCCTCACCTGCCCATGTCACTTTAGAGTGAGCAAAGTGAGTTCAGCCAACATTCCGGTATCTTTTCCTGACTATATTGGGAAACTTGAAGATATGTTTTTGCCACATAGCCCAAGGGAAGTCTTGGGATGAATGCCCTGGATATATATGTTGAAGTGAGATCAAGCTGGATTCCAAGGTCTCCCACAAAACCCTCAGATTAGTCAGAACTTTCCCTGCCTAAAAGTGTTCCTGGGCAAGGCTGGGAGACACCAAGTCTTCATGTGATGAGAGTTGTGGCAGAGAAGATAACGTGGCTTGGAAGAAGATAATAATGTCCTAGTGATGTTTATGACAAGGAAGGCTTCAAAGAGATGGCGAGCTGTGGACCATCTCTTAAAGATGAGCTGCAGTTTTCTGATAGCAAAAGAAAAGCTCACTGATAGGGAACCACACGTGCAAAGGCCTGAAGCTGGGGGTCAGGCTGCTGGCTCCAAGGAGTGTTCCTCACTTGTGCATGAGACTGGCCCAACAGGATGTTGTCTGGAACTGGGCTATGACTACAGAGGTACTGCTGGGATTGAGGGTGGTTACAAGTTTTCCAGGCAGGCCAGGTGGGTGTGGAGGAGGAAGGGAGAGCTACTCCATGCAGAAGAATCCACAGGGGTGAGAAAAAGGAGTCAGGAAGCCACCTGGTAGGTGGGAATGGAGATTCGTCCAGAACCATGGAGCAATGGGGGTGGGGGCTGATGTTTGTCGCTTGAAAAACCTTGCAAAGCCAGGCTGAGGGGTGGACTTCTCCCAGCGGTGGAGCAATGGAAGGTTGATGGAAGGACATTTTATTTCCTGTTGTTTAATGTTGGTTCTAAGGGTCTGGCCCTCATCTCTGAGACTAGGCAACAGTCATTTCCTACAAGGCATTTTAGAAATACACAGCACACACAAGACCCCATAAACACAACCAACACAAGTTTACATCATTCTATGCCTCATACACATCACACATCACATATCACACATCTGCTCCCACATGCCCCTCATATGCTACAAACCTCACAAATTCCAAAACGGACATTCAATCCACAAAATACAAAACACATACTACATGCCATATACACCACACACAAACAAAACACAGATACACAGAATAACCCACCATACCAAACACACATAACTTATACCCCACATATCAGACTATATCATTACACACATACAACATGCATGCATTCCTCACATTCCACACCAGCTTCCACACAACTGTATACACAAACCACATACATGTCACACAAAACACAGCTATTATGCTACAAATAAATATTCTTAATATATATATCCATATTCTACTAGCTTTCAGCATTGAAGTTACGAGCCTAGTATCTTTATCAGAGAAATGCGGGGTTCCTGCCCCTGCTCTGCCAGGGAACCAGATTTCAAGTCTCAGCATCGGCTGAGTGTTAGAAATCTCAACATCTTATGCAGCCCCTTCCACATACCACACATATGTTACAAACCTCATAACACTGTGGACAAGGAGGGGACTGCTCTAGACACTGGAGGAGGGGAACACATGCAGAGGTCCCAAGATGGAAATGTACTCCTTGGCTGTGCTGACCCTCCACTCTCACCAGAACCCTGACTAGTTCCTTAGGAGGCCACTCCAGGTCTTGACTCTTCTGCAATACAGGCTACTGGCATGCCCCACTTTGTATAATCTTAGCTCTTGCACCCTAGTTTTCCATACCCCATGCATTTGCCTGAGCAGTTTGATCACCCCGGAATGGCCTATTCTCCACTTGTTCCCTGACATTGTGTTGCACCTCCTACCCCAAAAGATAGTATAGATGGAGCTGTGATCAAGAGAGATCAGAACAGATTGCACGGATGATGAAGTAGGGGGAGTCCAGGTCACATAGGGCCATTTTAAGGACTGAGACTTTTATACTGACTAGTTTGGGGATCTATGGGAACCTTCTGAGCAGAGGATTGGCTGACTGACTTTCCTTTAAAGAGGATCCCTCTGGCTACTGGTTAAGAAATAGGGTGAGGGATAAGAGAGGGGCTTAGAGGGAGCACAAGGAGACTCATTGAGGGGGAAGGGAGAGCCCATGACATCTCAGACCTGGGAGGAAGCACCATTTCTAATGGTGACAAATAATCAGGTTCTGGAGATATCTTGCAGCATAAGCCCACAGGATTTCCTGATGGATGCAACATGGGTGTGAGAGGAAGAACTGACAAGAATGAATATAACATTTCAGTTTGAGCAACTGGAAGAAAAGAGTCGCTACTGACCAAGATGTGGAAGAAGGGGGTGGGAGTGGAGCAAAGAGAGCAAAGACCAGGCTTTAAGAGAAGGGGAAAGAGAGACATAATTTTGTCATGTGTTAAAGTTAGAAATGAGTAGCCATCTGTTATGGGGCTGTTGGAAAGTTTATATGTGTTTACGGACACTGAGTCCTAGAATCAAGAGTATTTGCATCATGGAACTCATCACTGTTTCATCATGTGATGACCTCGAGAAAAAGTCAAAGCTCACAGTCTCAAACTAGACTCCGGTGGGCCACTAGGACCAAGATAGATGAAGATAGTCACAAGAGATCCATCCCAACTCTGAGCAAAAGAAGCCAGGATGCCCGAGTTCCCAGTCAACGCTGTCATTTACTATCAGTGTGACATTGGGCAAGCTGCTCAGCAAGTCCTTCGCTTTTGTTTTACTGGCTTGGGGATGTTGATGATGATCATTCCACCTGCTTCAGGGAATACCATGAGGAAATGAGGCAATCCAGTCAAAGGTGAAGATCAAATGGACTAAGCCACTGACAGCAATTACAACAGCTGGGTATTAAGCAAGTACTCAGTATACACTAGACATCTGAGCATTTTTTGCTTAGAACAACACTTGGTTTCCAGTTAAAAGAAACCTATGGTCTCAGGCTACCTTATTATACTGGGAAGAACACTGATGCCCATGGAGAGGGAGAGAGTGATTGGATGGAGATAAGGATAAGCCAGTGTAGCTCTCACACCCACAGGGAGAAGCTGCCTTCCTCAAAGGGCCATGAGAAGTGGACCCTGCATGTGTTCAGGCAGAAACAGAGTGAACAATGTTGGGACTGAGGAGCTAAGACTTGAGTTCCTTCTAGATCTGAGAGTGAGGGACTCCACAGCCAGGTAACGTGGAGTGTGATTCACAATGTGATCACCCTCTCTGGCCCAGGACCTGGAGGCACATATGGGGCAGGTTCCCTGGCTCATGAAGACTCTGGTGATTTCCTCTCCCTAGCTATTCAGACCTGTAACAGAGGGACCATGTTGCGGATTGCGGCAGGCTTGTCTCAAAAACCGGTGGAATGGACAACAAATCAGGAAGAGAACTGTAACCCCGGGGAGGTGTGTCAGGAGACGCTGCTGCTCATAGACGTAGGTGCGTGGGCTCAGAGAAGGCAACACACCTTCACTGTATCCAGTGCATCCCCACCCTGAATTTCCCGCCTGTTTCGCCTCACGCCTGGAGATCTCAATCCAACTCCATCCTTCTCTGTCCCTTGGTTTCTCCTCATGTAAACTGGGAGCAAAGCAATGGAATGACAGTGCCTACACTGCTGGGCGGTTGTGAGGATATACTTGGTCATCCTCCCCAAGGGCTAACAACAGTGCTGGGACCTAGGAGCCGCAATGATTTAGTCCATTTGCCAGTTTAGGAACTGCAGGGCCAGTCGCACTGGCTGGTTGCAGCTTTACATGCTAGTGGGGAAACAGGAAGAAAAACAGAGCAAAGGGGATGCAGGTAAGAGCTCTGCAGAGGAATGGAGCAAGAAAAAGAAGATAGGGAAAGTGGTAAGGCAAGAGCTGGAATTTTGCAACAGGTGCTCAGGGAAGGCTCTGTGGAAAGAGAGCATTTGAAATATATCTGAGAAGCAGCAGGGCAGGGGGAGTATCCACGGTGCAAATCCTTGGCTCCAAAGCCCCAGCTGCCCTCAGAGCTTCCCCTCCACCAGCCCAGCTTTCTTTTACTCTTTTATCCCAACCCCAGGACACAAATCGCTCCTTGTGGGGAGCAAGGGCTGCAGCAGTCCTCAGAGACAGGATGCTCCGACTGTCTTCATTCACTCGGGGTCCCCTGGAGTGCTCGTCGCCTCCTATGCCTGGTTCTGCTCCTCCATCCTGTGCAACAGCGCCAAAAGTAGCAGTGTCCTGCTGAACTCCCTCCCCAGGCCAGGTACGGAATCCAGGGAGAAGGAGGAACACAGTCACTCAGGGCTCAAGCTGAGTACCTGCAGCTGAGAGTAGAGCTGAGCACCCCACCTTCTGTCTGTCTCCCAGCTGCTTCTGCGCCAGGAAGCCTGCAGTGTCCTGTCTGCGTGCAGTTTGGTGGATCCTGCTCACAGGTTTCCAACTTCATTATCTGCCCTAATGGTACCAATCACTGTTATAAAGGAGACATTTACACCCGTGGAGGTGAGTGGGTCCCGGGTACTAAGAGGATGGAACCCAGGACCATAGCATGGGAAAGAAAAGGGTCTGGGGACCTGAACATCCCACTAAGGAAAGGAGGCTGGTGTCCAGGTATCGACGTCAGAGGAAGGAGGGGCTGGGTTTAGACTCCTGGGTCTGAGGAAGAGGTTAGGGGCCTGGGCTTTTGGGTCTGAGAGAGAATGGATAGGTGTTTGAATTCCTAGGTCTGAGGGAGTAGAGGCCGGAGGACTGGAATCCTGTATTTGGTGAAAGAGGTCCTGGCTCTGAAAGTGGAGAGTCAGTGGAGGGTCAGTCCTAGTCTGAGGGATGAGGGGCTGCAGCCTGGACTCCTGGATATGGGCTGAGGCCTGGACCCCAGGGTCTGAGGGAGAAAGGGCCTGGAGATCTGAATCCCTAGGTCTGAGGGAGGGAGGGTTGAGAACTGGACTCTTGTATCTGAGGGAAGACAGGGTGGGGACTGAACCTCTGCATCTGAAGGAAGAGACTGTAGCCTGGACCCTGGAGACATGGGTTTGAGGCAGGGGAGGCTGGTGACTAGATGTGTAGAATGAGGTAGTGGGGGCTGGGACCTGAACACCTGGTTCTGAGGGAAGATGGGCTGTTATGGATCTCTAGTGCATGGCTGGGACCTAGGTCCTTTGGTGTGAACTCCTAGGTCTGAAGGAGGAAGACTGGAGTCTGGACTCCTGGGCCTGAGGAGAAGGGCTAGGGTCTGGACCCCTGCTCTGAAGGAAGAGGGTTGGGGGCCTGGACCCCTGGGGCTGAGGTAGGAGGGGCTGGCACCAGGACTCCTGGTTCTTAGGTAGGAGAGTTCACGCTCGGACTCCTAGGCGAGAGGAAGAAGGGCCAGGGATCTAGAACCCTGAGTCTGAGGGAGCAGGGCTGAGGGCTTGTGCTCCTGGTCTGAGAGAGGGAGAGCTGGGGCTTGGACTTCTGTGACTAAGGGAGAAGGATGAGGGGCTGAACTCCTGGGTCTGAGGATTTAGGTGTCCTCCATGACTGTCTTCACCATGTAGGTGGAGTCTCTGCCACATTGGCCGTTCAAGGCTGCATGCCTGAAAGTTCCAAATCCTTGTTGAAGGAAGCCCAGAAGATTGGGATCTTCTCTGTGAATGAGGACTTCGAGGGGAAGACGAAAGACCCTCTTCCACCAAGCAGCAGTGCCCCTGCTCCCTACCTGGCTTTGGTAGCGGGCCTGGGGTTACCTGTAGCTTTTTGGTGTGGGGGTTTTCTCCTCCCTGTTAAATCCATTTTTCCATGATCCTTAGCCCCTACTGACCACCCAAACCTTGTAACCTCATAACCTTCTGCCCTTTGGGACACCAAATTATTTTCCCAGCCATGAATTATCATGTCTCCACACACCTACACACTCTGCCACCTGATAATGACATACAGGAAAGCCTGGAAGCAGCTGAACTTGTCCCTATGGAAAAGGGGACATTCAAGTATGGGCCACATGTAATAAAGACCCTGTCCTTTCTCCTAATACTCAGATTTCTGTATAAGGGGAAGGCAGGACATGAGATAGAAAAGGAGTTCAGGGAGAGAATCTCCAAGGTCTGCCCTCTGATGGTCTGGTCCACATCTTCATTCCAGCGTGGGTGGCAACAGAGCCCTCAAGGTGATGTAGCCAAAAGTATTTTGGCATCGCCTTGGCATGGGAGATGAAGGTGCACTGTGACCACGAACTTCTTTATTGGCCAGGCTCCCAGCACAAACCAGGGGCTCATCTCAGCTGAGTAACTGGAAGATGGGTTAGTCAGGGGGATAATGGATGTAAGGGGTCAAGAACAAAAGGGTTACCACAGTTCCCTAGGGCTGTTACTGTTGGGTCTTTGCTACAATCCTAGGCCTGAAAGGGTGAAGAGAAGGAGTCACTGCTGGAAAGAGAGAGTGCTTTAGAAATAACTGCCTTACAGGACCTCTGAACTCAGGCTGAAAAACACATCCAGCTTGTGACACTATAGGGAGGAAGCTGGGGAATGAATATTCCAACGCCACTCAGGGTCCTCCCTCTGGTCTCCTGTTGGGGCCCTGCCATTAGCTGGACCCAGCTGGAAGATACAAAGCAGGACATCTCGCTGCTGTGGTCCCCACAGGTCAGCCAAACACAGCACAGAGAAGAGGAATAATGGGAGGACAGTGAACCTGCAGAAGGAATCAGAAATTGTCAGCCACAGTTCACTCTTTCCTGCTCAGCATCCACCCTTTTCCTCTGTCCTTGGAGGTCAGAGTCCTTAGTACGGAAGACACATACATCCAATGAATTATCACACAATTATCATAAATGGTGTGACAGTGACAATAAAGTCATGCTCATAAGGTGATGGACCACCAGTCATCATGAGAGGAACACGAGGAAGGAGAAAACTTAGAACAGCTGCTAAAGTCCTGGTTGTGTAATTGGGTGCAATTAAAGGCTCCTTCTTCCAATACTCATTCTGTATTCCCTTGCCACCTGCCAGAATGTTGATACACAAGCCAAATCTTCATTCATATAGGGAGTGGGTATTGAATGATGTTGTCTTTATTGATTTTTCACACTTTTCCAGTGAATGAGGCCTGAGCCAAGGAAATATTCCCAAGGAACTGCCTGTCCTCCAAACAGTCTCCCTGACACATTAACCCAACCTCCTTCTGTTAATCAGCTTCAGTCACTGAGCAATATGGTAGGCCCCTTTTCGGTTGGTTGTTCCAGCAGATGAGGCACACAGCATAGCTTGAGGACACACATATTTCTATCGATAAAAAAGCTCCGAGAGGATTCTTCATTCAAACAAACACAGGGCCAGGTGCGGTGGTGTATGCACATAATCCCAACACTCAGGAGGCTGAGGCAGGGGGATTGTGGTAAGTTCAAGGCCAGCCTGGGCTACATAGTGAGTTCAAGGCCAACATGCATTACAAAGCGAGAACCTGTCTTAAAAAATTGGAAAACAAAACAACCACAGGGACACAGGGAATATAAGCAAACATCTTTCCATGGGTTGTCAAGTGCAACAGTAGGAGGGGCACTCTCTTATCCCCCTCTTAATGTCCTAAACCCATGCATTTGGCCACGGAGGAAGTGGGACAGAGTTTCATAATCAGTTTACTGTGTTCAGTGAGCTGTCTGATTTCTAGCTATGACATCTCATCTGGTGGCTCCATGTGCCACTCACAGGCCATCCCAACATTCTGATAAGCCCTGGGTCACTGTACTGGGGTGAGTGGGAAAGTGGCTGAGTCCCATGGGTATGTCATATCCTCTGTCTTTGAATATATCCCCTAATTGGAAGCAATACTGCATATGACACCACAGCAACAGAAAGTTCATTCTCTAAGCTCTTGAATGGTAGTGTCCACAGAACTACTAAACGGGATGAGGAGGCAAACAAGAATGTACCCGTGCTATAAGATAAAACACACTCCTCTCCATGATGACATGTTCTGACAGCGACCTACTGCCCAAGACCAGACAGTCCTGTACAGGGAAGCCGTTACAAGGTCTTAGCATTGGCCTCTGCCTATCCCTGTTTGGCACTGAGTACAGCCAACAGCCAAGTTCCTGGGAAAGAGCCCCAGTTCTTTTGTAGCCATACATGGCACCATCTCCATGGCCATTTTTCACCTGGACCCATTTTTCAAGTTCTGATGGTGGAAAAAGTATCCTGAGCTGTCCATTCAACACTAAGAACCTCCTGTTCCAAGCATGTGTTCTGGTGGGCACGTATGTGTGTCATAGGTAGCTCATACCCTCTGCCCATTCAAGAAAACCTTCTGCATACCTCCCCCTCCACATTTTATACTTTTACCCCTTACAAGTCCCTGGAAAGAGTATCCACAGTGCGTCCAGGCAATATGTCCATCCACACAAGGTGCATCCCCAAAGTTCTCCCCACTTGAAGGAATTCCCTATATCCTTTCAGTACCACCTTTCAATGGGAGCTAATGCAGCTTCCATGCATGTCTGCCTGGTGTCAGCTCACTACGACGATTTATACATAAACCTGGTCTACACTTTCCTTCCTCTGTAAAGAGGACACAGGAGATTCCCATGAGCCTATACATGCAGGGGAAGAAGAGCAAGGAGCAGAAGCTAATGCAAGCCTAAGCCGCCCACTGGACATTCATCCATGTCCTCCAACTGGCCTGAGTCCCTCCAAATTCTAGGAGACCTATATCTTTCCTCATGGCTACAACACAAGGTGTAGAAAATTGTCTCAATTTAGAAGCAGTACTCAGACATGTACCGAACTGTAGGACCCAATAGAATAGGAAGCTGGATGTTTGCACAGTTTCTCTCCCACCCACTGGCAAATAATTTCTAAGTCATCAAGTGTGCTTTCTAGTTCTTGTTCATTATGTCCATTGAAGTTAACATAATGTCATGAATGAAGGAGACCAGCATGTTATTCTGTAGAAAGTTGGGTAATCAAAGGCCCTTTGAACTATGAGAAAGAACAAGAGAGCTGACAAAGCCATGAGGCCACAAAGCCAAGGTGAATTCTTGTATCTGAAATAAGAATGGTAATGTTTCTTATTATCTCTGCCAATAAAGACAGGAAAAGTTCATTGTTAGGTCGATAGATTTATATCCAGTGTCTACAAGAAACCAGAGCTGGAACCACAGTTGCCATTGTCATTGCCATTTTTGTTTGCCATAACCTATTATCTTTTTCCTGGTTCTTTAAAAGTGATCAAGTAGGCATGGTAAATGGAAATATGGCAGCAATCCAGATGCTTGCATCTCTCAAACTGACGTTGGTGCTTATCTCAGGAATTGCCCCAAAGGTTCATTATTGCATCTAATTTACTCTCTTGTTCAGGGGTGTGACAGTGCCAGAGTTACTATTTCAGTTTGGTACCATAATGGCTCCCACTCCATGGATCAGGGAATCTATGCAGGGATTTCCCATTGTCAGTGCAGGTGATACACTGTGGGGTGACACAAATAACACAGGATGAGTCTATCCCCTGACATGGTTCACATGAAGCCTACATCCCCATAGGGCACATAATCCTGTGCACAGTCTGTGAGCATTTCCCTTTGACAAGTGCCCAGCTCCTTCAATCAGAGGGCCCTGGGACCCTCTGGCAGGGGAAGAATCACTGTCTATATGGTTGACTGCATTGCAGGGCCCTTCTCAAGCAGACCCAGCCTCTTCCTCCTTCGTGGGATCTAGATTTGCAAGCTGACACAGTGCAGGAACTGAGTAACAGGTCACTGGCCATTCTAGTTAGGTTTCTTCCCATGAGAAAGAAAATTTCCAATTTATCAAGTACGACTTTGTTGACTTCTCATTGAGTTCACTTTTAGGGTTTCTCCCCTCCCCAGGGCATTTAGCATCACCACAGGGCCCTGCTTGTGAAAATACTCTGACTTTCTTTTGCTCTGTGGTTCCTTTTGGTGTTGGGAACACCTTGCTTCTCAATGTTCAGTGTCACTTCATCTCTCCAACAGCCTCTTTTTTCCCATTGCAATTGGATGACCCAACTCCATCACATCATTCCTTGCAAGCATCCTCTGTTTCGGGGGTGAGGCTCTACCGAGCTCTTGAGGCACCATCCTCAATGTATTTCCTTTTAAAAAATTATTAGTACATGTTTGCCATGCATGATGAATACATTCTGCATGGGTAGTTGGTATACATCACTCTTAGTCCTTTCACTTCCCTCTTCTCTCCTTCCCCTCCCCTCTCCCTCTACCCTAGATTGCCTTCCCCTGGGGAAAAGGTGTGCCTCCCTATTTCCTATCATCTATCTTTTATTTTGCTCTTTAAAGTATTTGTACTTTGGTTTTCTTAAAATTCAGTGTATTTCTTAATGCCCTCCTAGGGGCTGCAGTCAGGAGCTAGCTGAGGAACCTGCACACAACAAGCCAATTCCATTTAGGCTTTTCCACCTCCCCAAACTTTGAACTCCTTATCTCTCCAATATGCCATGCAAGATCCAGAACTGACTCCAGATATCACCTCATTAACCTAGCCAACTAGTAAAGTCATTCCTAAGGACTTGAGCCAACACCTTCGATCCCATATCCCATGTGAAAGAATTTGGCTCTATCAAGCCTTCTTCTTCACCTTCATGTTTGGTATCACACCTTTTTAATCTGTATCCATCAGGGTCCAGGCAAAAATCAGAAACCACATACAATTTTAATATAGGTCATGTATGGTGGCACAAGCCTATAACTCCAGCACTTTAGGAGGCTGAGGCAGGAGAATCACAAGTTCACACACAGCCTGGGTAACTTAATGACTTAGAAGACCCTTCTCAAAATAAAATAGAAAGGGCTGGGCATGCAGCTCATTTAAAGTGCCTCCCTCCCCAAGGAATGGCGGGTAGAGGGTGAAGTCTATCCCTAGAGGTAGAAATTTTTCCTCCTGCAGCGTCCCTCTAGCACCCTCTACTGTCAATGTCTAACTTTATGCCTGGGAAAGGATTTGAAATATTTGCAAGCTCCAGCTGTGGTACCACAAGCAGGACAGGGGAAGTTGGATCTGGAGGTAAGAGGCAAAAAAGGAAAATTGGCACAGAATCTGTTCCCATGCGTGCTACAGGGTTCATGCCAGTGCTGAGTGCTGAGGTCCTATGTTGCTCTGAGTGTGTGGGTTGCTCCCACTAGGCCTGTGTGTCTCTGTCTGTGTGGAACCTCACTTTGGTGGGTGTGGAGGAAAACAAGCTTCCCTTGTGAGAAGTCTGCCCCAGGTACCATCTCTGAAAGGCTTCTCTCACAGAGAAGGGGAGGACATCTTCCCAGGCAATTGCTGTGCAGGGAGATTGGTCAGCCTAAAGTCCTTGCTCTGTGTCTGAGGGCCACACTTCCTTCTTCACCAGTGCCTTTAGCTTAGCACAGCCTGGTAGTTAAACACTGTTAAATAAACTAAGGCACAATATGATGTAAAGAGAATTTATTTCAACGATGATTCATGAATTGGGCGGCTCCAAACTAGAAGCTGTCTGGGGAGTGCACAGAGGGAATTCACAGGGAACGTTGCTATGGTCTACATCTGGATGACCTGTCAAAGTCCCATGTATGCAGAGGTGGGGCTTGCAGAAGGTGAGTGGATCACAGGAGCACTGCAGCTGGCCTGGTGTTAGGAGTTGGGGTCTGCTCAGGAGATGTGGATCATTGCGGGGAGGTCCTAGCAGGGTATATCCCCTCCCTGGCTCTACCCTTTTCTCTCTGCTTCTTGTCTGCCATAGGGTGAAAGCATTTTTCCTCCCCTAAGACCTTTCCACCATGCTGCTGACTAGGCAAGGACTGAAACTTCCAAAATGTGAGCCACAATAAACCTCTCCTACTTTAAGTTTTAGGCATCAGGTATTTTGTTCCATCGAGGAGGAAAATGACTAAGACAAAAGATTTTATAGGGTAGAAACAGATGCAGAGCAAAGAAAATAGTTAATTAGTTACAGATAAACAGTTGTCTTATTCTATGCCACTGGAAAGTCTCTGGTTGTAAGACTGTTGGAAGCTTCTGACTGGTTGAGCTTAAGCGTTACTATTCTTTCATATAGGGATTTAATGAGATAGGTCAAGTTCACCTTCACTTATGTGCACAAATCAAACAATATTAAAGTCTCCTATGAGGCTCACTTGGCTCTGTCTGTTCAGGGATTTTTCAGGCTCAATCGCAATCTTAATTTACTTTATCAGCACTTACCTTATTGTCTAAGTCTTCAAGTTTTTTACTCATGTGAAAGGCTTGGTCTTCAACCAGAATCTGCCTTTGTACTACAGGTGACAAGGAACTCAGTACCAAGGGGGCTTTCTCATTGCACACTAGCATTTCCATTTGGACATTTTCATCTTTACACTGCTCCTGTTCTTCATGTTGCTTTCCAAGACCATC